CATGGATTCCATTTCTTTCCTATGTTGGGCATTCATGGTTTCCATCATTTTCCTAGGCTCCTGTATTGTTTTTTTTAACTGTGTCTGCTCTAGAGTCACTAACTATGTCTTTCATTATGGTCACCATCTATGTAGTTATCTGAGAAACTATTTCTGATTTGATTTTTTAGAGCCTCATTCATCTGCTTTGTTACTTCTTACCCCATTGTCTTATTTATTTATTTATTTATTTATTTATTTTTGGTACTGGGGATTGAACTCGGGTCCTTGCACTTGAGCAGCAGGCGGCGGAACCACTGAGCTAAATCCTTGGCCCACTGCTTTGTTACTTCTGCTGTTAACCACTTCAGAGAGTCCAGCTGGATGGGTTTTGAATTGTTCCACCTCATTGCTCCCTGGATTTGCCTTTGGTGATCTAGAAGTGTGGGATTGCATCTTGCTTAAGTGTCTTCTCATTTTCATTTTCTTTTGTTTTTTAAAATTCTTGGGTTGATGCTTGTAAATTGCTTATGGAAAGTAGCTTTATTGCTAGTATTTTGAACCCTTAGGAAATGACTACTTGTCAGACATGTCTTCCGGGTGTAGCTGACTTTTGGGTTTTGTGCCTGTTGCAGGATCTTTCCTCTTCAATTTATTGGGGATGAGAAGTTGCTGCCTCCTTAGCCTAGCCCCTAATTCTTTGGCACTGGCCTATAGTATTGTTTATGACTCTTAGGCAGTCTCAGTCTTGCCATATCAGAAAGAACAACTGATTAAAACAATCATGTCATCTTGGTTAAAGTAGTACAGTCAGCAATAATGATAGCATCAAAGATAGCCTAGGAAATGACAGAGAGCCTAGAAAATGACAAACTGTGGTAACTATTAATTTCCCACCTTTAACTCTATGAACTAGATTTGTGCTTATATAACAAAATCTAAAACAAACTAGAAAATTGTATACAGTAAATATGCCCTCAGTATGGTGATTTTACCCTCATTTAAATTTTTAAAATTTAAAAATGTGAAAGAAGTTAGCAGGACCCAAGTTCGATCCCCAGTACCAAAAAAAAAAAAAGAAGAAGAAGAAGTTAGTGGAAAAAATAGAGAAATAGAAGAAGAGGAAGAGATTAGAAGCAAGGCTGGAGGACAAAGGAAGGTTATATAAACTTTGGCAGACTGGTGAAGAAGACAAGACAGGAAGGAAGGAAGGAAGGAAGGAAGGAAGGAAGGAAGGAAGGAAGGAAAGAAAGACAAGAACAGAGCGACCATAACAAAAAACTAGAAACAATGTTTACACTTACATAAAAACAAGAACAAAAAAACAGAAATGAGAAAAATGTCTACTTCATGGCGTGTTTCTGCTGTCACTGGTAGACACAGTGGGCAGGCAGAGTCCAGATCTGTGTTGATTAATCCCAACAAGCCAGTTGTAGATTTTCTTTTTGGTACTAGGGATCAAACTCGGGTCCTTGAGCTTTCGGGGCAGACGGTGGAATCCAGATGGAGATTTATGGTGGGACCGTGGATAATCCCAGCAAGCCTGCACCATTAGTTCTGAAGCTCAGGCTGGTTTCTGGCTGTGAGACTGGAACCTGTTTTCAGTTTTCAACAGCCTTTGTGCTTCCTGCAGGCCTAAACTTGGCTCCTTGACCTTGTGCCTACTTGTACTTGGTTCTGCCTCACCCTGACGGAGCCAGTCTGCAGCTGCTGAGTTCCAAGCTCAGTTGGGCCCTCTCCAAGATGGCGACCAGCCAAGTGCCCTCCTCTGGGGGACATCTGAACCCAAATAACTCACCAACTACTGCAGTCTGCTGCATCTGTTGCTACATTCCACTTTTACATTTCTCTGTGGAAGCCTGTGAGGTCACCAGTAATCACTGTGCATCTGCAGGTTCAAGTCACCCCTTCCATGAAGTGAGTCAGGGCTCAGGGAGAAAGCATCACTTCTTCATTGAAGTCTCTCTCTTCACTCTCCCAGTGGGCTTCAATTCTTGCTTCAAATCTTTGCTAGGTCCCAGGAACCCAATTCCCTGTTCTTTTTCTTCTTCTCATTGCTATATCCCAGTGTCTGGACACCAAATCTCAGAGAGGCTCTTTCCTTGCTGTTCACCACTCTGCCATCTTCCCAGAAGTCCCTCAAAATAAAAAATTTAGAAAGGGCTGAGTGATTTAAAAAAACAGCATGATACTGACAAAGAAACAGACTGGAGGATCAGTGGAACAGATTACAAGATGCAGAAACAACTCTACACATATTCAGCCTCCTTGTCTTTGACAAAGGGGCCAAACACCCTCACTGGAAGAAAGATAGTTTCTTTAATAAATGGTGCTGGGAAAACTGGCTTTTCACATGCCAAAGGCTAAACCTGTAGACCTGTATCTCTCTTACCATGCACTAAATTCAAATCAAAATGGATCAAAAATGTAAATATTTAAAACAGAAGCACTAACTCTGCTGGGAGATAGAATAGGTAAAACTCTTGAAGACATAGGTAGGCAAAGACTTTATGAAAAAAAACCCAGTCACACAGGAAATATTAAAAGAATCAACAACTGGGATCCCATATTAAAAAGCTTTTGTACAGCAAAAGAAACCACCAACAAAGTGAAAAGACAACTCACAGAATGGGAAAAGATTTTTACCAGCTATTCTTCAGACAAAGGACTAATATGTAGAATATATAAAGAACTAAAAAAAAATCAGATCCCTCAAATTTAAAGACACAGTCCAAAAACGGACATCTGAAATGAGTAGACACTTCTCAGATGAAGAAGTAGAAACAGCAAATAAATATATGAAAAAATGTTCAACATCACTAGTCATTCAAGATATGCAAATTAAAATGGAGACTCCATCTCCAGAAAGAATGGCTCTCATGGGGCCAGGGATTTAGCTCAGTGGTTCTACCGCCCGCCTTGCAAGCGCAAGGACCTGAGTTCAATCCCCGGTACCAAAAAAAAAAAAAAGAATGGCTCTCATCAAGAAATCAATACCCCATGCTGATGAGGCTGTGGGGGAAAAGGAACCCTTCTCTGTTGTTGGTGAGAGTGTAAACTGTTATAACCACTATAAAAATCAATATGGAAATTCCTCAAAAAACTGAAACTAGCGATTCCTTTGGATCCAGCGGTGCCCTTTCTGGGTGTCTTCCATAAGAGTTAAAAGCATCATACCACAGTGATATTATACATATCCATGTTTATAGCAGCACAATTTATAGTCATTAAATCTTGGAAACAGCCCATCCACAGATGAATGGATAAAGAAAATGTGGTATTTATGGAAGACTAATTTTTTTTTGTATTAAATTCTTTTATTGGTACATTGTAGGTATACAACACAATTACATTTCTCATTGGGAATTGTACCTTTATATAATGCATCTTGGTTCTTATTTTTTCCCCATTCCTAGCCCTCCCTTCACACCCTCCACCCTTCCCTATTTACAAAGACTTTATTTCCATTTTTTCCATTTCTCATCATTTTTCCCTTTCCCTTCTTTCCTTTCCCCTGCCCCTCGCACTACCCCTACCCCTTTGGACCTTTTCTTCCTATTTTACATTATCGATTATTCATTCTAATCATTGGTACATTTTAGGTATACAATATAATGACATTCATCATTGGAAATTTGAACCTTTACATAGTCTCTCTTGGTTCTTGTTTTTCACCCTTGCCAAGCCCTCCCTTCAACCCCTCCAGCCCTCCCTATTTACAAAAATTTTGTTCCTATTTTTCCATTTTCTCATATTAATCCCATTCCCGTCTATCCTTTCCCTTAGCCCTCCCACTTCCTTCCCCTTTACCCCTTTTCTTCCTATTTCACATGACCTATTATACATTTAGTCCTTATTTACACTTTCAGTTTCTCACACCAGAGAAACTATTCGGTATTTACACATGTGTGTCCTATTTATTTCACTTAAGAGTATCGCCTCAAGGTGCATCCACTTAGCTATACATGTCTCTAATTGGAAGACTAATTTGCCATAAAGAAAGATAAACTTGAATCATTGTTAGATAAATTGATGTACCTCGAGACTGCAATTTTAAGTGAAATAAATCAGACACACAGTTTTAAGTATCTCATTGTTTCTAAAAGGGTAAATAAGGAGCAAGACAGGATAGATGCTGGGAAGTAAGAAGAACTTTGCTCAAATGGAAAGGGGAAGTGAGGGAGGAAGAAACGGGATTTTAAAAATCAACTGAAAGGAAAAAATGGAAACAAAGCTCCTGTAAATGGAGAGAAAGAAGTGTTGAAGGGAGGGAACGGGAATGAAAAAAAAGGAATTAAGACATACTATGTACAAGTACAAATTCTCTGTGATGAATGTGATCAATATATATGGCAAATACATGCTAATAAAAATTAATTTAAAGAAAAAGGGCTGGGGATGTGTCTCAGTGCAAAGACTCTGGGATCAGTCTCTAGTACCACAAAAAGAAAAATTGCATGTTCTGATTACTAGTGAGGTTTTAGCATCCTTTCGTCAGTTAACTGCCAGTTGGCAACTTAACATTTACAGTCTTTAGGACTTCCTCTTGCATCTCACTAGTGGAGTCATTTCTTTGAGGTCTCTGTCACAGATAATGATGATTAGCATCCTCTCTTTAGCTCTGATAATCCTTAGAGTGATCCAGACCATTGTTAGAGAAACTGATTTTAATTCCATGTTCTCATGAAATACAAATTTTGAAGAATTGTGTGTCATGGGAATTTCCTTAGCAGTTATGTATAAGTTGAATTTTTATGAATTAAGTGCCTTTGTTTTTTGGGGGGGGGTTTTGGTACTGGGGATCGAACTCGGGTCCTTGCGCTTGTGAGGCAGGCATCGGAACCATTGAGCTAAATCCCCGGCCCAAATTTTTATTAATTAAAATTGAATTACGTAGGTCAGTAGTGCTTGTCTATTCTCTGGTCATGTGTCAGTTTTACGGAAGTCATCCTGACTCTACCTGTGCCTGATGTCTAACATATGCTTTTTGTCTCTTTTCTATAAACAAACACCATCCACAGAGCCAATGAAGAGATTGCTCAGGTTCGTACAAAAGCAAAGGCTGAAAGTGCAGCTCTGCACGCTGGACTCCGGAAAGAGCAGATGAAAGTGGAATCCCTGGAGAGGGCCCTTCAGCAAAAGGTACAGCCAGGGTTTCAGCCCACATGACTGCCAAGACCTCCACTTCCTCCCCAGCACATTAGTACCAAGCCTGGGTGTGCGCAGTTTACCAGAGCTGGGGGGAGTGCCCTTCAACCCAGCTCTGTGAACTAACTTGGGGGAGACAAACAAGTCCCACCATCAACCTTCTGCCATATTATGAGAATCATTTACAGACAGAGACCAGACAGGACGTTGAGTTTTCACTGAAGTTCAGGGGATCCAGCACTTCCTTGTCAGGGTCACCAGGTTACCTTTCATTTCTCCTGTTTGTTTCTTATGCAGTGCATGAAGTTGTCTTCCCCCTTCATTGCTTTAGATCATTGGTTCTCATTTAGGGGCAATTTTGCCCTTCAGGGAACATTAGGCAGTGTCTGGAGATTAATTGGTTGTCATGACTGGGAGGTTTTACTAGTGTAGAGTGGGGGGACGCCAGTGATACTGCCAAGCCCCCTGCTACACACAGGATGGCCCCGCACTGGAAGTCTGGCAGCCCAGTGTGTCAGCAGCGCTACCATGAGAGCTCTGCTGGGGTAAACCAAAGTCCATGGAAGTAGCACCCTGCTTCTTGCCACACAGCAGCTACTAGCTTTGCTTTCCACCACCAGTGCTTCACTTATCCATTTCCACTTATACATTTGGGCCTGTGACACCTCTGAAGTAGTTAGTGTCTGATGGTGCCTCATGTCCCTGGGCTCCCCAGGCCCCAGAATCCTGGTGCCTGGGAGAGATTCAAATGCTTGTGTTTTTAACAAATACCCCAGTAGTTCCTGTGGTATCAAGAAAATCTGGGAACTAAGAGATTAACAGTCAGGCTTGTCTCTAAGCCTTATAACGTGAGTGCAAGAACATTTTTCTGAGGAAGTATATATGGTCTTATAAGATCTCAAAAGTATAAAAATGAATTACTTGGGAAAGTCTAGCTGGTCTTGGGACTCTAGCTGTAATTGCATTTATCTCAGAACACAAAAGTGGCCTGCATAGTCATATCCTCTGTCTTTCAGAACCAAGAAATTGAAGAATTGACAAAAATCTGTGATGAGCTAATTGCAAAGCTGGGAAAGACTGACTGAGATTCATCCCATCAGCTAAGCAGATCTCCACTTGGCTGCTTCTGTAGTGACCACAGTTAATCTTGCCTTATCCAGAAATATTTGCCCCTTTGCAGAAAAAGAAACAAAAACTTTATAAAAAGCACACACCTCCTGCTGCCTGTCCCGCTTTGCTGTTGATGCAACAGCCCCAGAGGAGACTGGAGCATGGCCCCTTCGTGAAGAAGCATGGATCTGATGGCTGGCGTTTCACATGGCTCCGGCTGCAGTCCAGTGAGCCAGGCCACTGAGTGTGGTCTGTGGTTTCTCTGCCTTTACTTTGTCTTAGCATCCTCTTTACTTTTCCCAGATTTGTTAAATTCGTGATTTTGTGACCACTGTTTAGGGTCACCTCTTCCGCCACCTGTCTGGTATTTTTGTGACCTGTTTGATCTGTTAATTTTCATTATCAGCATTTTTATCGAAGGAGTCAATTTGGCCTATTGTTAGTTTCAGTTTATAAACAGGAAATACCCTTTTATATACAGTATACACTGTCACTTATACATCTATATCTGCATATGCTGCTGCTTTTCCCTGGAGGCATATCAGTTAAGAACATCTGTAGAAGAACATGTTTCCATAAATGTAGAACCTAGTTTAAAACAGAGCCCTGGCTCCAGATGTCAATTTAAGAATCTGGGGGCCAAGTGCTATGGCACATGTCTGTAGTCCCAGCCACTTGGGAGGCTGAGGCAGGAGGATTCCTTGAGCCTATGGGTTTGAAACGTGGCAAGTCCTTGGTTCAAAAAAAAGAAAAAGCGGGTGATCACAGATGTAAAGGATGTGGACGGTTTCACATCTGGGGAGACTTTGCTGTACTGTTTTGTTGCCCCTCACATTTGATGGCACTTAGTCCTAAGATTGAGTCCTAAGTAGTCAGTGTTGTGCATGAACAGCAGCAAAGGACTCACTCAGAGCTGGGGTTTGGCAAATGTGTCCTGGAATCATTTGGTTCCTTCTGCTTCCATTTGTTGATACAGACCCAACATCTCACCTTTGGCACCTATTGAAATATGCCAAGAAAATGTACTTGTGAAAGCTTTATTTAATGAAAAAGTAACTAGCCCATTACCAATTATAAGGAGCAGGAACAGGTTTTTTGTTTGTTTTTACAGGCTTGGTATGTTCTTCAGATGTTAAAAATGTGTATTTTCCAATTTAAGATAGAATTTTAACAAAGCAGGCAGTAAAAATCTTGTGAGCCCTTCCATGTCTCAGCATACTGTTAGTATTTTTAAACAAAGACAGTTTGAACCCTAAGGAAGGGAACGTGAGAAGTCCATGCTAACAAAACCAAGCTCCTCAAGCTCTTGCTAGCCTCGGTTCAGAGTGGTGGACAGTAACCCCAAAATGAACATTTCCCATGTAAGGCCAGTGCATCTCTTTCTATTTGGTAGGGGAAACCAAATCTGTACAAGTGTTTTAGAGCACTCCATTGTCTTAATCCTATACCCTGAAAGGCTTCATGGTGGTATGCACTATATTCAGTACCTGTGCTTTCCTACTTCTCTTGTAAAACTATTGCATGAGCCAACTTGAGCAATGAACTGTGCCTCGTGAAAACCTCTGTAGATCTTGAAAGTGAATATTTCCTTAGCAGTGTGTTACTCAGCATGGGTGCAATCTTTAGCCCCAGGGAAGTCAATAATTTCTTTTAAACCCAGAAGTCATGTTTTACCAATACTCATTTATTATAATTGGTGCTTAGGCTGTATTTTAAAGCCTACTGTCTTAACATTTTGTACAAAGAAAAAAAATTAGCTGTGGTTAGAGAAGTGGCTTGACAGTCATTTGGGCTTTGAAGTAGTCACTGTGGCTTATTGTGAATGCTGTCCCAGTAGTCACAGTCTCAAAGTACAAGTGTCTCCTGATAGTGTGACCAGTTTCCTCTTAGTCCTCTCCTGCAAGTAAAGTTGGTGCTGCAGTTTGCAGAAACATTACAAAGCCACCTGCTGCTTGTGTTTTGTTGGCATACCCATATTTACTTATTTTATATCAGTCTGTCTTAAGTTTATAATGGCTAGTCACCTTTCTTGTTATCTTTTTAAAAATTTTTTTGCAGTCCTAGAGATCAAACCCAGAGTCTTGTACAAATTAGGCAAGTACTCTACCACTGAGCTGTATCTCCAGCCCCAGGGGCATCTTCTTAAGCTTACTGTGCATTTCAGAAGTACAGTGTGCTGTGCACTAGAGCAGAGCTGACACGAGTCCTTCTCTAGCACGCAAGTCCAAGAGACCCCCCTGAAAACGAGAGCCTGCTGAATGAGGTTCCTGCACAAGGAACACAGAAGGGCCCTTGATAAGTGATATTGCCACTGGCCTCCCAGTCCTGACCATTACAAGGAATATCCACCATTCTCATTTAATAAATACATCCACTCCAAAAAGAAAAAACCATAGCTATACAGCTGGCAGAGCAAGATAATGTACTAGGCAAAAGCTGGCCATGGTGGTATAGACCTGTAATCTTAGCACTCTGAGAGGCTGAGGCAGGAGGATCTCAAGTTCAAGCTCTCAAAGAATTTTTAAAAGGGCTGGAGATGTGGCTCAGTGCAAAGGCCCTGGGTTCAGTACTAGGAAAGGGGGATGGGCAGGGGTTGAATATACTAGGCAAATGGAGAGTATCTTTTCTTTAAGCACAAACACACACACCCTAATAGTTTTTTGTACTGTGGCAAATAAGAATGTAGTGTAGGGCAGTGATGGCAAACCATTTGGAGCTTTCAATGATACAAACAGCCTGCTGTGGCACCCCTGCCATAGGTTTCCACCAGTGGTCTAGAGTCTGTTTCAGCACATGTGAGGGCCAAATTACTTGTTCAATTAAAACAAAAAACCTGATCCAAAAGGGAAAGAGAAGGAAGCTGCAGGTTTAGATAGGGATTTTGGAATTACTGTGTGATCTTGAGACTGTGAGTCCAGAGCCACTTCTTTAGCTTCCGACTTTGCCAAAATGTATACTGCTTTGACCCAGCAGTTTTTTGGTAAAGGCTGAGCAGTTTACTGTATGCTGGGCTAGACAGTCACAGTCACACCTAGACTTGACCTCACTGGCAGAAGCCCCTTGAACCAGAGACCTGCCCACACCTGGTGTCAGTAGATCTGCTCTGGAGACACTGAAATGCCCAGTATTCAGCCTCCTCAGACCCAGCCTAGACTAGGAAGTGCAGCAGTGCACGGTGGTGAGAAACTGAGGCTTTGACAGTCTCTGACTTCCCCTACTGCTCATACTCAGGACAGCCTCCACACAGATACCAGACAGCCCTGAGCACTTCTGTATGTGTCCACAGAGGAATAGACCACCCCACCAAGTGGGCTTCCTGAGTCGCCCAGGGCTGCACTGCCTGCTGACAGGGTTGACGGAGGGCTCCCCATGGGCTGAGGGGCCGAGACCCAGTGGGTGAAGCGCATGTGCACTGAATCAGTGACTCAGTACATTCTTTGCTAGTGGAGTGAGTATCCCAAAGCCCTCCTTTTCTTTTCTTTCTGGTTTTTCATTACACTTGGTAACCATCTCATGAATTGTCCATGACTGTTTTTTCTTTGTAGTGGTGTGACCACTTGGTCTCAGACTTGAATTTCCTTATCCTCTTGTTGGGAAGAGAGAAACTAGGTGTTGAAAGATTAAATGATTCAGGCAAGAGATTTTAAAGTAAAGCTGTGTATATTCTGAAGAATTTTAAAGATAACAGATTTCTACTTCTTAAAGAACAAACATAGTCTGGGAATCCCAGAATGTCAAGCCAAAGGTCTAAGAAGTCATGTTCTTTCCGAGATTTTAATAAAGGAGTACTTTGAGAAGATTTCTGTTCAAAAAGCTTTCACTGAACTCCAGATTCCAGTTATTTTTAAAAAGCAATTTATGGGACTGGGAGTGTAGCTCAACAGAGGAGTGCTTACCCAGCATGTATGAGGCCTGGGGTTCCCTCCCTAGTGCTGCAAAAAAAGGAAAAATAGTTTACCACTCAGTCTTTGAGTCTCATACAGAAAAGGTAGAGGAGTTGATGCTGCAGACTGCTCTCTGTAAGGGTCTCCTCCGGTGACAGACACGTGGCACCATCCTCCAGTGAAGTCCTGCTCCCTCGTGCCAGAGCTTGCATTCTGGAGTCTAAAGATTGCACTTTTCGTAGTTTTTCATCCAAATGCAATCCCATTTCTGTGCCTCTTAGCATGCAATTAGATTTGGACAAACATGATTCCTAAGGAATGACTTTATTAACTATAATATGGTTACAGCTATTATATAAATACATATTCTGGTTATAGTTCTAATATGGAGATGTTGCGTGCCATCCTGGCCTGTGGCAGTCTGTACAATGCTTTAACTTGTCTGGAAGAGGCTGGGCTTGAAGTTCGGTGTGGCCTGGACCTTCCCAGTGTCGACTCTTCACTTTGTCAGTCAAGATGCTGCTGTCTCTTCCTTTGCCTGTTAGTGGCATCTGGAATATACAGTACTCCAAACAGCATTTCCTAGTCAGATCACCAACTGATATTCTAGATTTTGGAATAATTTTCAAGTGAATATATGCAAATTTGAGCTCAGAAACCATGCCCAGCCCAGATACAGGGCAGCCTGTAGGTCGCCACACCCATGGTGTGGGCCTTTGCCTCTGTCCTGCTCAGGCATGGAAAAGGACCCAGGCACTTTTGCACCTCAGAGGTAGCAGTAGACTTCTCTGTTGTGTTAACAAGCTTGTGTTTGCCAGTAGATCCCCACTGTACTAACGTGCCAACAACTAGACGTCCACTGCACATCTGCTCCCCTGTGTCCCCACAGGTGCCCCAGGTCATGTAAGGAGCCCCTCATCTAGAGGGGTGAGCGCTGCATTGACTACTGCTGTCAGGATTGTGTTGTGTGGAATAATCATATACATAAATTTTATATACATAGTAATTTCCCTTTTTATATTGTCAGGTAAATATTTGTAAAAGTTATACTCACACAAATGAAATTATTATAATGATTACTAATATATTTTTTCCATGTTTCATTGCCTGAATAAATACTGTTTACCACTGTTAGATCTGGTTGTGTGTGTATTATTATTGTTGGTTTCTCCTGACTGGAAGTTGTTTTACCTCCAAGTGAAAATTTACGACAGCCTCAATTTTATGAGTTCTGTGTTTTGGTCTAAAAATAGAAGACTTTCCCTACGCTCATTTTGTGGGGTTTTATGCAATCAGTTGGGTATGTAATAAAAAACAAAACAAACTTTGGGTTTCAGACCTTGTTACAGCCTGTGACTGCCTCTGTGCAGAGTTTCTGGCTGGGTGCTGCTTGATTTTACTTAGAGACTGGTTGTCTGCCCTGGCCTTTTTCAAGTTCTCAGCGGCTGTTATCCCATGCATTCTGACTTGTTGAAGGCTGCAGGATAAGCCAAAACTATGTAAACCTTACAGCCTGCAGAAAATAGTTGATGTTTTATTTTATGTTTCTTCCAGGTTGATACCAGGAAAACTTTCAGTACTGGCCAGGCCAACTCTGTACTTAAGAGGGCAGGGCAAGGCAGGAAGTTTCATGGATTGTTATCCAGGGCCAGGCTGGTGACAGAGCCTGTGCGAGTTTGAGGCCAGTCTGGAATACATAGTGAGACCCTGCCTCAGAAAAGAGACAAAAGGATAGACAAAAGGCTCAGTTTTACAGCGTGGGTGGGATCCTGAAGGAAACCAGCACTCTCACCTCACACTATCTCCCAGTCACAGCCCTGCAGCTGTGGAGTTCCCGGAAGCCCTGGTTCTGCACAGCTCCTGAGCTCAGTCACTGAAGGTGTTTCTGCTGCGTTTGGCAGAAGGCAAGGGAGTCATTTCCTGGGAGTCCCTGGGAAAAAATTAGGTGGAAGCTTACTCTTAGAGAATTTTATTCATAGATAACTGAAGACCACCAGTATTTTTCACACTTTTAAAAATAGAAGACCGTAACATCACCTTAGTAAAAGGCAGTCTGTGTGTGTGTGTTTGTGTATGTGTTTTCCATGCTGTGTGGGCCTTGCTTATGCTAGGCAGGTGCTCTACACTGAGCTACACCCTAACAGCAATCAGGATTTTCATGAGAACTATGAAGTCACTGTACAAGTTAAGGGTAAGTATTGGTTTATGAAATGTCAGATACGAATGTGTGTGTATTAGGTCATGAAAATATTTCTTGGTATGGCTAGTAGTCAAAGTATGAAAGTACCTAATTAGGCAGCTTAATTCCTTTTATCCTATAAACTGAGGCTCAGAGACAGGAGTGATGTGGCCAGAGTTGTATGTTAGTGATGTCATCAAAATGGGCAAAAAGAAATATTAATAGACCTTTTAAATTCTTGAAATCCAAGCCCTCCCAGGTGTGGACAGTATTTATATCATTCCTAAGTGAGTAGTCATTGACTAGTACAGTAAGTCCCCAACTTACAAAGGAGTTCCCTTCTGGGAGAACGTGTAAGTTGGATTCGTTAACATCTCACACACTGAGACTTATATAGTACTCCTGTGAAAATTTGCAACTTGAATGTTCATAAGTCAGAGACTTACTGGATCAGATTTTTGTGGGGGGGTGCTTTTTAAATTTTTTTATTTTATTGGTACATTTTAGGTATACAATATAATGACATTCATCATTGGAAATTTGCACCTTTACATAATCTCTCTTGGTTCTTAC